TAATTTAATGTGTTGAATAAATTCAAAATTTGTGGGATATGTTTTTCTTCTAAGTTAAATGGCGTTGTAATCAATAATAATTATAACATTAATAGTTATTATCGTGATGTTATTTTGTAGTAAATATGATATTTATGTACAATTGCGTTTTAATAGTAATGTTTATGTTTTGAATCACTTATCAATTGTTTACATGTATCATTTTTAAAAAATAACAAATACAAAGTAATATCAATTAATTTTTTATCATCATAATAAATCTCTGATTTCTAAATTATAAACAGATATGGCTAAAATTACCGCACAAATGACAATCATCTTCTTTATTTTAGTGTTAGTGTGTGCGTTTGTTCCTGTTTACTCTATTGGAGAAAGTGAAGCAAAATTATTATGGGATACTTGTCTTCTTAAAATCACTCCTAAGTGTGCATTAGATATAATCGGTGTTGTCTTTGGAAATGGAACTATCACTGATGCGTGTTGCCACGATCTTGTGGAAAAAGGAAAAGTGTGTCACGATACGCTTATCAAATACATTTCAGACAGACCACACTTGATTGCAAACGAAACCCAATATTTGAAGAAAAGAGATGATTTATGGGCTCGTTGTGTATCAAGCTCTCCAAGTGCTTAAAACATTTACTAATTATGCTATTATGATCGAATAAATTCATAATTTATTGTAATTTCAATTTTTTGTGGCCAAACTGTCTTTGTGTCCACTTCCATACAATACAAAAAAATCAATGAAAACAAATCTACTTGCAAATCAATTGTGAAAATCTACAATTTTTTATTTAACTTTAGATAACAATTCCTGATACACTCTTCCTTGGTAGTGGCAAAAAACCCAAACGTGTGCAGAAACCTTAGCTTTGTTTAGGAACCCCCATATTCCTGATGTCATGTTCTCCGAAAATCTTAATCAACTTGCCAACTTGTAACCTGTCGTCGAACAACAAAAAAGTGTTCACGCCAATATGAACATTAAAATTCAGAACTATATAGGCAGTATGTAACACCCCGACCGCCCCTACAGGCGAGTCACCCATCTGTTATGTCGGGCTCGTGGGCCCGCAGCTGTATGACGATCAGTGCGTTATTTTTTTTTCCGGAGCCCAACAGAATTATTTACTGACCATGTAATCACCACATGATCTTTACCCGTGTTTTGGCCTCACTCACACGATCTCGGGAATCATTTCCTGAAAGGTCACCCATCCTAGTCCTGCTCCAGCTCAAGAATGCTTAACTATGGAGTTCTCTCAAGTCCACTAACCAAAAAGATAAGTGCACTTTGGTATCCAACAGGCCTGTCTCGCTTTACATTCTCCCACCATACATGTGCCTCTCCCCGCAAGAACTGAGCTACAATACCCCTCTTAAACTCTATGGGACATCTGGTGGAATCAAAATTCCTCTCCAACAACTTCATCTAATCATCCGCTAAGACCGGGTTATTATCAGCATCGAAAGTCTCCATGCCCAAGTTTCTTATGAACTTCACTGTGTCACGGTACGATAGTCCATCTCCTGATGGTGGTATTCCTGCTGGAGGCGCGGGTGGAACAAATGGCAGTTGTGGTAGTGGATGCCCCTGACGCTGTAAAATCTCAGGCAACATACCCCGAAGTTCCTGAAACTCCTCACATGTCACTGCATTCGCTGCTGGTTGGGCAGCTACAACAGCATCAGCTGGGGCATCAACAATTGGGTTCCCCCTCCCATTTGCCCGATGTCCTGCTCTCCTTGGTGGCATTATGTTCACAAGAACACACGATCAGACTTCTCCTTAAGAACAATGTCCGCTACACAAGAAACAGCCACATAAGCAAATTCTAGTGGTGCTCGGCTTTTAAAAATCCTCCTTTTTCCGAAATAGTTAATAAATCAATTTAAAATATTTTTATTTTGTTTTTAAATTGTCTCCCGGGTCAAATCCGGGTTGGCAAACTTTATGCTCTGATACTAATTTATAACCCCCTCACTCTAGCACAGGAGTAGTCATTGTAGTGTGGTGTTGAATTTGGAAATATGAAATTATTCGTTATTTCATTTCATTATTCGTTTTTTTAGAGATTCCTTTTGAACACTTTGGTTATATTTAAAGATGATTTTGTGAAAGACGTTTTGGATTTGAATTTGGAAAAAGATTTTATGAATGACATGCCGTCTTATTTAAGTAAGAGTTGGGTGTCATAATTTGGTATCAGAGCTAGGTTGTCTTAATTATAACGACTCGGGCCCAGCCTATTTGAATAAGTTTAAATGGATAAATTTGGCTACCTATATCACCAAAGTGCACATATCTTTTTGGTTAGTGGGCCTGAGCAAACACCATGGATAAACGTTCTTGAGCTGAAGCAAGACTAGAATGGGTGACCTTTCGGGAAGTGATTCCCGAAACCGTGTGAGTGAGGCTAAAACATCGGAAAAGATCATGTGGTGATTGCAGGGTCAGTTAATAAGTCGGTTGGGCCCTGCGAAAAATAATGCACCAGCTGTCAGACAGGGGCAGGGCCCATGACTGCGACGGAGGGATGGGTGACTCACTGGTAAGGGCGGTCAGTGTGTTACAAAGTGGTATCAGAGCCTGGGAAGTCAAACCGGATTGGCAAACTTTCTGCTCTGATACCAGTTTATAACCCCCTCCCTCTAGCACCGGAGCATTCATTGTAGTGTGGTGTTGAATTTGGGGATATGGAATTATTCATTATTCAATTTCATTATTCGTTATTTTTTAGAGATTCCTTTTGAACACTTTGGTTATGTTTAAAGATGGTTTTTATGAAAGACGTTTTGGACTTGAATTTAGAAAAAGATTTCATGAATGACATGTCGTCTTATTTAAGTAAGAGTTGGGTGTCATAATTTGGTATCAGAGCTAGGTTGTCTTAATTGTAACGACTTGGACCCGGCCTATTTCAATAAGTTTAAATGGATTAATTTGACTACCTATATCACCAAAGTGCCCTTATCTTGACCACTAAATAAATTGGTTTAGAGTAACTTATGCACTATCTATAAAACAGATCTTTTAAAAGCAAGTCCGGCAATAATAACAGATTATCTAATTTATAGTGTCGACAAAATTCTACGGGATATTTTTTTTCTTCTGAGTTAAATAGTGTTGTAATAAATAATAATTATAACATTAATAGTTATTATCGTGGTGTTTTTATATTAACTATGACATTTATATACAAATGCATTTTGATAGCTATGTTTATGTTTTGAATCACTTATAAATAGTTAACACATATCATTTTAAAAAATAACAAATACAAAGTATTATCAATTAATTTTTCTACCATTATAATAAATCTCTGATTTCAAAATTATAAACAGATATGGCTAAACTTACTGCACAAATGAAAATCCTCTTCTGTGTTTTAGTGTTGGTGAGTGCGTTTGTTCCTGTTCTGTTGAAAAAAGTGAAGCAAAATTATTATGGGATACTTGTCTTCTAAAAATCACTCCTAAGTCTGTATTGGATATAATCGATGTTGTCTTTGGAAATGGAACTATCACTGATGCGTGTTGCCACGATCTTGTGGAAGAAGGAAAAGTGTGTCACGATACGCTTATCAAATACATTTCAGACAGACCGCACTTGATTGCAAACGAAACCCAATATTTGAAGAAACGAAATGATTGATGGGCTCATTGTATATCATTCTCTCCAAGTGCTTAAAATATTTACTGATTATGCTGTTATGATCGAATAAATTCATAATTTATTGTATTTTCAATTTTTTGTGGCCAAACTGTCTTTGTGTCCACTTTCATACAATACAAAAAAAATCTATGAAAACAAATCTTCTTGCAAATTAATTGTGAAAATCTATAATTCTTTATTTAATATTTAAATAAGTGGTGCATCAAATATATAGTATTCATTATTAAATGTCAAAAAGTTAAATATCACCAATTTAATATATAAAAATGCATCAAATATATAGTATTCATTTATTCAATCTTAACTGTGAAATTTAAGTTTTTAAACAACAATATATCTTTGAGTATATCTTGTGATAACTGATAAATAAATAATTAAATTTTGTTTCCACTAAATTGACTTTTGTACTTAAATCAGTCGTTATCTTTACATATTTAAACTTTTAGTTTGGTCATATTTATTGGTATTTGTTTATAAAATGATTCCTTTTGCTGCTATTTTTAGATCTATTTGGTTTTTCTTATGAAATAACATCAAATTAACATACTTATAGTTTTGTTAAAAAAAATAAACATTTTACCTTGTTTTTATTGTTTCAAAATTTTCAAATTACAAGTATTCTCATGATATTTCTAAGTAAGTTATTTTAATAGTTATTATGTCTAAAAACATTTAAATAAATATTAATATACTTTATATTATAATAGTTTGACTCGTCTATTATCTGCGTAATTTTGAAAACCAATCTCAAAAGTATAAATGAAAGATTTAAATAATCACAGAATTATAGAATATTAATAACTAAATATTAAGTTAGATTATTATATAATTTTACAGCAACTAAATGTTATAAGAATGAAAAATATTAAAATTTTTGAAAATTTACTGAAACTACACTATTATGTTTCAACATTTTCTCATTTGTTTGAATATTTTACACATGTGATATGTTTTTTTATTTGATGCAATTTCAAATATATCAATTAATCGACGATTTTATTTACAATAGAAGATCTCATTTATAAAAAGGAAAAATGAATAAATGGAATTGTGTAAACAATAACAAACGTTGGACTCTTCCTCGAACCGTCTCATGAAAAATCATTAATGCTTATAAGGGAAACTGTGATTAAATGATACATTCCGATTTCATATAGATTTTTCAACAAATGGTAAACTATTTGTGAGTATCCACCCTATTTTATGCCTTCATGAGTTCCTTTTGTGCCAGATGTGGTTGATCGAAGTTTGAAAAAATAGAGTGAGCAGAATAAGGTAATGCAAGCTCCGCCTACATGTTTTGAGATAATAAAGAGTATAATCATAGTGTTGTGTATCGCTTGATCCCAGAAGGCGACTTCTTTAGATTGTCCAGATCCTGTAGGAATAGGGCAATGGAAATAAAAGGTAGTCTCTCGACTACTCCTTACAAAGTAAAACACTTTGCTTTATGCCGCAAATCCTCATTTTGGCACCAGTGGCTAGTCGATTCATGATGGCAAGCCAAGAGATAAAAGAATACCTCTAGAAGGCTTTTGGCAACCATACGAGTCGGCTCTACAAAATACAAGCTTATCAAGTTCTGATCCCAATTCTTTGCAGCTGATTAACTATTACACTAGCCATCTGCTTCATACCTCCAGAAAAGAACATCCCTTCTTGCTGCAATAGAAATAGGCTGCTAGAGAATCTCAGCTAACAATTCCTGATACACTCTTCCTTGGTCCCGGCAAAAACCAAAATGTGTGCCTACAAGCACATCAGAAACCTTTGCTTGTCTAGGAACCCCCATATTCCTGATGCCATGTTCTCCGGTAATCTTAATCAACTTGCCAACTTGTAACCTGTTTTCAAACAAAAAAATAGTGACCACACCAATATGAACATTGAAACTTCATAACCATATAGGCAGTAGGCCGGAGCTTTATGAGTTTATGCCAAACCCATGAACCCTTTGTGACGTCCCTCTCATCCTAATAAAATCCATTCCTTAGCTAATAAACTTGAACCCTATCAACCCAAAGGGATCACGAAAATGTGAAGTGATGCCATATCAAGCCAAAGGAAAAGATCAGTGAAGAATCATTGAGCAGTCGTAACCCCAATCATCCTTCATCATTTGGAAACGCTCTTTCTCCCAATATACCTTTGCTTTGTATGTTAAGTAGATATAAAAAATCATCTAGTTAAAACAATATTTTAAATGATTAGTATCTTAGGCATACCACTAAATAAATTGGATTAGATTAATTCATGCACTATATATTATTATCTATAAACAGATTTTTTTTAAAGCAAGTCCGGCAATAATAACAGATTATCTAATTTAAAGTGTCGACAAAATTCTAAACTTATGGGATATTTTTTTCATCTAAGTTAAATGATGTTGTAAGAAATAATAATTATAACATTAATAGATTTATTATTGTGGTGTTATTTTGTATTAATTATGACATTTATATACAAATGCGTTTTGATAGTTATGTTTATGTTTTGAATCACTTAAAAATAATTTACAGATATCAATTTTTAAATAACAAATACAAAGAATTATCAATTGATTTTTTTACCATAATAATAAATCTCTGATTTCTAAATTATAAACATATATGGTTAAAATTACCGCACAAATGACAATCCTCTTCTTGGTTTTAGTGTTGGTGTATGCGTTTGTTCCTGTTTACTCTGTTGAAGAAAGTGAAGCAAAATTATTATGTGATATTTATCTTCTTAAAATCACTAATAAGTGTGCATTGGATATAATCAGTGTTGTTTTTGGAAATGGAACTTTCACTTCTGCGTGTTGCCACGATTTTGTGGAAGAAGCAAAAGTGTGTCACGATTGCAGACGAAACCCAATATTTGAAGAAAATAGATGATTTATGGGCTCATTTTGAATCAATCTCTCCAAGTGCTTAAAATATTTACTGATTATGTTAGTATGACCGAATATATTCTTAATTTATTGTAATTGCATTATTCTTGGCAAAACCGCCTTTGTATCGACTCTCATACAATATAAAAAAAATATGTGAAAAGAAATCTATTTGCAAATCAATTGTGAAAATCTACAATTCTTTATTTAATATTTAAATAAGTGGGGGTTATTGATTCAGGATGAACAAAGTAAGCAAAAAGTTAAATATTTTCAATTTAATGTATAAAAATGAATCAAATATATAGTATTCATTAAATCTATCTTAAATCTGAAATGTAAATTGTTATACAACAAAATATATTTTACTATATCTTGTGATTAGTGATAAATAAATAATTAAATTATTGTTACCATTAAATTGACTTTTGTACTTAAATCAATCGTTATCTTTAAACTTTTAGTTTGGTCATGTTTATTGTTATATGTTTATAAAATAATTACTTTTGTTTCTATTTTTAGATTTATTTAATTTTTCTTATAAAATATATTCAAATTAACATACTTATAATTTTGTAAAAAAAATGAACGTATTATATTGTTGTTATTGTTTCAAAATGTCCAAATTACAAGTATTCTCATGATATTTCTAAGTAACTTATTTTAATAGTTATTATGTCTAAAAGAATTTAAATAAACATTAATATAAAAAGGAATTTTTAGTGAATAACTTTAGAAGGTGACAAAAGGCGACAAAAATGCGAAAATAAAACGGTTTCCGTTCTATCAATCCTTGACCATCACCACGGTGACGGTTATCTAAATCGAGGACGACGACTGCGAGAAATCTCAGGAACTCACTCACTCTCCCTTGTTATCCTCGAGCATTCCCACGATGGATCCCACGATCCATGGTGATGACAGTTCTGTATTAACCATCGATACTCGAGACGAGTATTTATCCACCATAAACGATACCCTGAAACACAACTGAGCCATCAAATTCTCTTGATACACAAAAATCCATTACTCCCTAACTTAGTTACAGTGAGAATGGCTGACAATCTACGGAGGGCGATACAAGAAATCAATATAGGAGCTGAAGATCCCCCTTTTATCCTACCGGCGGAAATTGTGAATCAAGCGTTAGCGGCGAACCAATTCGTCATAATTGGACGTCCAGTGATTCGGAGAAGACAAAGGTTACGTTCGATTGTGGCAAATATGCCACGAATTTGGGGCCTGGTGGGAAACACACATGGAAGGATCATTGAAGGAAGAAGATTTCAATTTGTGTTCTCTTCGGAGGAAGCCATGGAGTGGGTTCTTTGGCGGGGACCTTGGGCTTTTGCAGATCGTATGCTGATTCTGCACAGATTGATGCCAAGACTGAATCCTGAGGAGATGCACTGTATCCCCTTCTGGATCCAGATAAGAGGAATCCCCTATCAGTATCTGAGTCACGAGGTCATCCTTCACATTGGCAGAGCACTTGGAATGGTCTTAGAAGTGGAGTTCAATGCGGAGATGGCGGCAAGGGTTGAGTTCGTGCGGGTCAGTGTCAATTGGGACATCCACCATCCCTTACGCTTTCAACGTAACTTCCAATTCTCCTCTGGAATCAATACACTTCTCCGGTTTACCTATGAACGTCTGAGAGGCTTCTAAGAAATTTGTGGCATGTTAACACATGATTCAGGCAATTGCCTTATTCAGAATGGAGGATCAGACCCATACAACATTGATGGTAATGACGACGAAGAGAGCGATGACGATGCAATTTTAGAGCATCATGACAATCAGGAGCCAAGACAGAGAGGAGTTGTCCTCCAAGAAATCAACGATGATGAAATGGTGGATGATCATGCTCAAGATCTGAGAGATAATGTGGCCCCTGATGATGGCACATCACACACTGAACAAGCAATTATAAACAGTGATCATGAAGATGAAATGCAAGTCCCTGCAACGGAAGACTCGATCCAAGAAGCTCAAGGGGAAAAGACCAACTCAAAGAGAAAATTCATTGGGGACACAGATTCGGCTATGGGTTCTAATCACAAGAAGTTCGAGCGTGGAGAAGGAAGCTCGACTACAACAAACAATGATGCACAAGTTTTCAATGGAGGCAAGGTGGGCCCTGAACCACCGCTGTCACCATGAGGACACTCTGTTGGAACTGTCAAGGGTTAGGCCCAGACTTGATAGTTCGACGCCTCAAGGAGATATCAAGACGATACATCCCGGACATTATCTGCCTATCAGAAACCAAACAACAAAATGACTATGTTAGAGATGTAGGATGTCAATTAGGATTTCTTAATTATGCTTCTGTACCACCTATAGGACTTCGCAGTGGATTAGCTATCTTCTGGAAGGATAATATTAGTCTCTCATTTCTTAGTAAGTCGCCAAATCTTGTAGATTGTGAAATTCAATGCAATGCTATTTCCTTTTACTTGTCTTTTGTTTATGGCCATCCGAACCCCAGTTATAGAAAGCATACTTGGGAAACTCTTGAACGTTTAGCATCAATGAGGTATCAGAAAGCTTGGCTAGAGCTAGGAGATTTTAATGACATATTAGATAACTCAAAGAAAAAAGGTGGTAGAATAAGGCCTGAAGCTTCCTTTCGGGATTTTCACCAAATGATTAGAACTTGTGATTTCAATGATTTAAACACTCTAGGAAATAGGTTCTCATTGACTGGGCAAAGAGGGGATCATAGGATTTCTTGCTGTCTGGATAGGACTATGGCGAATAGTAACTGGTTTGAACAGTTTCCCGCTTCTACAACAGAATTCTTGGAGTTGGCCAAATCAGATCACCGCCCTCTTCTCACTTATGTTTCTTCAGAACAGGAATGTCGTAGAGGAACTTTCAGATATGACAATCGTCTTCAGAGTCAAGAAGGATTTACAAATATGATCATTAATGGTTGGAACGACGATACAATACGCTCAAATCCTACCACATTACTCACACAAATCGGCTTGTGTCGCAGACGAATATCAAATTGGAAGCGCCAACATCGTATGCACTCAGTGGAGAAAATAACACTCCTTCGCAGCAAAATAGACAACGGTCTCTTCAAAGGAACACTAACAACGGCAGAGGCACAACAACTACGACGGGATTTGCATCAAGCATATGTAAAGGAAGAACTATACCGGAAACTGAAGAGCCGTATCAGCTGGTTACGTGCAGGAGACAGAAATACGAAGTTTTTCCATGGTGTTACAAAGGCTAAAAGAGCTAAAACCAATACCAACTCGATAGAAGATATAAACGGAGTCGTACACAGAGGATATAATGATATTGCTAATATTGCTGCTTGGTATTTTCGGAACCTCTTTTCATCCTCTGGGGATCAAACCACGACAATTACAGAGGTATTCCAAGGTTTCCAAAAAAAAGTTACAACGCCTATGAACACAGAGTTAACAAAAGAGGTGACAATGGAAGAAGTCCGACAAGCCGTCTTTAGCATTGGTCCCCATCATGCTCCTGGCCCAGATGGATTCAGTGCAGATTTTTATCAACAATTTTGGGATGACATCAAAGACTCGATTTTTAAAGAAGTCAAGCTTTTCTTTGATAATAATTCTCTGGAGCAAAAACATAACCATACGAATATATGCTTAATCCCGAAGATACATCCACCATAAAATATGGCGGACTTTCGACCCATAGCTTTATGTAACGTCTCCTACAAGATAATCTCCAAGATTCTAGCTTACCGTCTGAAGAGCCACTTATCGAGAATAATTTCTGAAAACCAAGCTGCCTTCATCCCAGGCCGTGTGATCTCGGACAATATCATTATAGCGCACGAAGTTTTTCATAGTCTCAAAGTACGTAAGAGACAAGCTAACTCTTATATGGCTTTGAAGACAGACATTACTAAAGCATATGATCGTTTGGAATGGAACTTTATTGAAGAAACGATGCGCCGAATGGGTTTTGATGAACGCTGGATTCGATGGATAATGATATGTGTATCCTCTGTTTCATTCTCTGTTCTCATCAACGGTTCAACGGAAGGAATAATATACCCAACACGTGGAATAAGATAAGGTGATCCGTTAAGCCTGTATCTGTTTATACTCTGTGCAGAAGTGCTTTCTGACCTCATGCACCGGGAAACATTACAATCAAGACTTCAAGGGATACAAATAGGAAACCGAGGTGTACGAGTGAGCCATTTATTATTTGCGGATGATTCCCTTTTCTTCACGTTGGCAAATCAAAAGTCATGTCTCAGCATTAGTAAGGTCTTAAGGCTATATGAAACAATCTCGGGACAAGCAGTGAATCTTCGAAAATCTTTGATAACTTTTGGTGCAAAAGTTAAAACGGAAATGAAACGAAGCATGCGGCATATACTTGGAATACATAATGAAGGGGGACATGGCAAATATGTGGGTCTCCCAGAATAATTTGGCAGCAAAAAGGGAGAAATGTTTCGTTATATTGTTGACAAAGTGAAAGCTCGAACCTAGGGATGAAATAAGACATTCCTTTCACATGATGGCAAGGAAACACTTTTAAAATCAGTGTCTCTATCCCTCCCTATATTCTCTACGAATGTCATTAAACTCAATAAGGATATTTGTGAGGAGATAAATAGTATATTGGCAAGATTCTGGTGAAGTTCAAAAGATGGAAGAAATATGCATTGGTTTGCTTGGAAAAGACTAAGTATTCCCAAAAAAGAAGGAGGCTTGGGATTCTGAGATCTCAAAAATTTCAATATTGCTCTCCTTGCCAAACAAGCATGGCGAATTCTACAAAACCCGGGATGTCTAATGGCAAAGGTTTTACGGGGAATCTATTACTCAGACAGAAACATTTTAACGGCACAACCCCGGAAGAAGGCATCATATGCTTGGAAATCAATCTTACAAGGACGCGATCTGCTCTGTAAAGGCTTAAGGTTTATTGTAGGAAATGGAAAAAATATCAACACTTGGATAGATCCAGGGCTACCACTACATCCACCGAGACCAGCAAGGAAAAAATTCTCGGATCAACCAAACTTCAATGTTTGTGATCTAATGTTACACCAGAGCGCATCATGGGATATAGAGAAAGTACAAGAAGTTGTAGCCCCGGAGGATGTGGATCACATACTAGCGCTAAAACTATGCTACTCGGCCTCACATGACCTGTTGGGATGGCACTATAATGAAAATGGGATATACACTGTACGTTCAGGCTATTGGTTAGCTACTCACTTACCTGAAGCTTCAGGACCAATACCACCAGATGGAGATGGTCTATTAAAAGCTGAAGTCTGGAAAATCAAGACGGCACCAAAAATCAAACATTTTTTTATGGAAAATGCTATCAGGTTCACTCGCCACAGGAGAAAATTTAAGAAGACAACACATTACCCAACAAACTCTATGTCGTCGATGCTGTAACATTGAAGAAACAACAAATCATATTTTCTTCGAATGTCCATATGCTCAACAAATTTGGCGATCAGCTGGCATCCCTTGTCTACGAATCTTACATCTGGGTTATTCAATGGAGACACGTATGAATTTATGTTTCGATTTCCATCGTGAAAAGCTTTCACCAACATTATACCATATGTATTTATGGATATTATGGAGACTCTGGAAAAGTCAAAATATATTGACATATCAGGCAAAATTAATCCCATGGAGAAAGCTTCGGGAACAAATTCAGAGAAACGTTAAGGAATGGTTGGATCTGAAAGACTATCTGACATCTATAGCAGAGATTCCAGCACCAAATCAACCACAACAATATCCACTACCAAATGTAGGGACACAAATATCGACCTGGCAAAGACCTCCACCAGATTGGATCAAGTGCAATTTTGATGGTTCGTTTCAAAATGATACTATACAACCTCAATCGGGATGGATTTTCAGGAACGCAGAAGGATACTACATAGGGTGTGGACAAGGAAAAGGAGGGAAAGTTAGTAATGTACTCGAAAGTGAATTCCAAGCTTTGGTGTTTGCCATGCAAAATAGTTGGTCAAAAGGACATACACACGTTATTTTTGAAGGCGACAACAAGAAGATATTTGGTATACTATCAGGGAAGATACTTCACTTTGGGATGGCAAATTGGTTAAGAGAAGTTCAATTTTGGGAGACAACATTTACGTCTAGAAAGTTCATTTGGACGTCAAGAAACAACAATGAAGTAGCACATACACTGTCGAAGCATCATATCCCAAACAGGACATCCTTTTATTATCATTCCTTTGTACCTTATTTTCTAACAAATGTACTTCACAAAGACTATGTATTATCAATTCATATATACATTAAATTTTCGACGAAAAAAAACCACTAATATACTTTATATTCTAATAGTTTGACTCGTCTATTATCTGTGCAATTTTAAAAAAACAATCATAAAAGTATAAATGAATTATATAAATAATCACTGAATTATAAAATATTAGTAACCAACCATTAAGTTGGATTATTATATAATTTTCAGCAACTAAATATTATAAGAATGAAAAATATTAAAAGTTTTAAAAACTTACTGAAACTACACTATTATGTTTCAATATTTTCTCAAATGAATTAAATTTTATTTTAAGACAGCTTATATATAACACATTTGTTTGAAAATTTTACACATGTGATATGTTTTTTTATTTGTTTATGTCAAAAATATCAGTTAACAGATAACATTATTTACAATAGAAGATCTCAATTTTTAAAAAGAAAAACAAGGAAATGGAATTGTATAAACAATAACAGACATTGGACTCTTCCCCTTGCCCCGAACCATATTCGAACCATCTCATGAAAAGTTATTAAAGCTTATGAGAGAAATTGTGATTAACTGATACATTCCGGTTTCATATAGATTTGTTAACAACCTGTAAACTGTTTGTGAGTATTCCACCCTATTTTCTGCCTTCATGAGTTTCTTTTGTGCCAGATGTGGTTGATCGAACTTTGAAATAACAGTGTGAGAAGAATAAGGTAATGCACGCTCCGCCAAGATTTGTTGAGATAGTAAAGAGTATCAGAATAGTGTTGAGTATCGCCTGAGCTCAGAAGCGGACTTCTTTAGATTGTTCAAATCATGTAGGAATAGGGACAAGAACAAAAAAAAGATAGTCTCTTGACTAATCACGCTCCTTTTATAGTAAAAAACTTTGCTCTATGCCACAAGTTTTTATTTCAAACACCGAGTGGCTAGTTGATTCATGATGACTAGCCAAGAGATTAAAGAATGCCTCGAGAAGGCTTTTGGCAACCATACGAGTCGACTCTACGAAACACAAGCACAGCGAGTTCTGATCCCAATTCTTTGCAGATGATTAACTATTTCGGTAGTCATCCGCTTCATACCACCAGAGAAGAACATCCCTTCTTGTTGCAATAGAAATAGGCTACTGGAGAACCCTCGCTAACAATTCCTGATACACTCTTTCTTGGTATCGGCAAAACCCAAAATGTGTGCCTACGAGCACATCAGAAACCTTAGCTTGTCTAGGAACCCCATATTACTGATGCCATGTTCTCCAGTAATCTTAATTAACTTGCCAACTTGTAACTTGTCGTCAAAGAATAAAAAAGTCTCCACACCAATATGAACATTGAAACTCAGAACTATATAGACAGTAGTCCAGAGCTTTATGAGTTTAGGCCAAGCCCATGAACCTTTTGTGACGTTCCTCTCATCCTAATAAGATCCATTCCTCAGCTAATAAACTCTAACCCTATCAATCCAAAGGGATCACGAAAATGTGAAAAGACGCCATATCAAGCCATGTTTTAAAATTTACTTTTCTTTGTTCAACATTTAAATAAGTGGTGGTAATTTATTTAGGATGGATAAAATAATCAAAAAAATAAATATTGCCAATTTAATGTATAAAATGAATCAAATATATAATATTCATCTCTTTGATCTTAAATATGAAATTTAAATTGTTATACAACTAAATATCTATAACTATATCTTGTGATTAGTGATTGACAAATGATTAAATTGGTGGTACCATTAAATTGATTTTTGTAGTTTAATTAGTCGTTATCTTTCAATATTTAAATTTTTAGTTTGGTCATATCTATTGTTATATGTTTATAAAATAATTACTTTGTCTGCTATTTTTAGATCTGTTTGATTTTTCTTATGAAATATTTTCAAATTAACATACTCAAAACTTTGTGAAAAAATGAACGTTTTACCTTGTTGTTATTCTTACATAATATTTCTAAGTAATTTGTTTTCAAAATATCTATATTCCAAGTATTCTTACATGATATTTCTAAGTAATTTGTTTTAATAGTTATTGTGTCTAAAATCATTTTGATAAATACTCATATACTTTATATTCTAATAGTCTGATTCGTATATTGTCTGCGCAATTTTGAACACCATTCTCAACAGTATAAATGAATGATTTAAATAATCACGGAATTATAGAATATATGTAAGCAAACTTTAAGTTGGATTATTATAAAAAATTTTAGCAACTAAATATAATAAGAATGAAAATATTAAAAGTTTTAAAAACTTATTGAAAGTACCCTTTTATGTTTTATTATCTTCTCAGAAGAATTAAATTTTTTACCTTAAGAGAGCTTATATATAATACATTTGTTTGAAATTTTTACAAATGTGATGTGTTTTTTTATTTGATGCAATGTCAAAGATATCGATTAACAGACAATGTTATTTACAATTGAAGATCCCAATATCGAAATAGGAAAAACGAATAAATGGAATTGTGTAAACAAAAGCAAATGTTGGACTCCTTCTCTTACCTCGAACTATATTCGAACCATCTCCTAAAAAGTCTTTTATGCTTATGAGAGAATTTGTAATTGAGTGATACATTCAGGTTTCATATAGATTTTTCAACAACCGGTAAACTGGTTGTTAGTATTCCACACTATTTTATGCCTTCATCAGTTTTTTTTGTGCCAGATGCGGTTGATCGAACTTTGGAAAAACAGTGTTAGGAGAATAAGGTAATGCACATTCCGCCTAGGTGTGTTGAGATAATAAAAAGTATCTTCATAGTTGTTGTGTATCACCTGAGCCCAGAAGCCGACTTCATTAGATTGTCCAGATCATGTAGGAATAGGGGCAAGGAAAAAAAAAAGGTGGTCTCTCGACTAATCACGCTCTTTACATTGTAAAAGATATTTCTTTATGCCATAAGTCCTCATTTTGACACCAGTGGCAAGTCGATTTGAGATGGCTAACCAAGAGATGAAAGAATATCTCGAGACAGCTTTTGGCAGCCATATGAGTCGGCTCTATGGAACACAAGCACAGCGAGTTCTGATCCCAATTATTTGCAGCTGATTAACTATTACGTTAGTCATCTGCTTCATACCGTCAGAGAAGAACATCTCTCCTTGGTACCGGCAAAAACGTCATATAATGTCTACAAGCACATCAGAAACCTTAGTTTGTCTAGCAACCCTCATATTCCATATTCTCCAGTCATCTTAATCAACTTGCCAACTTCTAACATGTCTCAAACAAGAAAAAAGTGTCCACACCAATATGAACATTAAAAATTAGAACCAGATAGGCAGTACACCTGAGCTTTATGAGTTTAGGCCAAACCCATGAAGTCTTTCTGTTGTCCTTCACATCCTAATAATATTCACTCCTTAGCTAATAAACTCAAATCTTGTCAACCCAAAGGGATTCCGAATATGTGAAGAGACGCCATACCAAGCCAAAGGCAAAGATCTGAGAAGAATCATTGAGCAGCCATAAGTCCAATCATCCTTCGGCATTTGGAAAACAAACGTTATCCCAATATACTTTTTATTTATATGTTAAGCAGATATGACAAATAATTTAGTTAAAACAATGTTTTATAAGTTTAGTATCTTATAGATACCACTATTTAAATTGGTTTAGTGTAATTCATGCATTATATATTAGTATCTATAAAACACATTTTGTAAAGCAAGTTCAGCAATAATAACAGATTATGTAATTTAAAGTGTCGATAAAATTCTAAATTTACGGGATATTTTTTCTTTTGAGTTAAATGATGTTGTATTAAATAATAATTATAGAATTAATATATTTATTATTGTGGTATTAATTGATATACTCGTTATTTACACCATATTAGCATACATTTTTCCATTGTTTCATAGTCTTTAAACATGCATTTTTGCTTGTTTTTTGTCCCATTTGCATTTAATTAGGACTTAGTGTAGATTTAAGGTGTGCATTGCATGTTTTGTGCATTTGAGAAGTTTTTCAGGTATGTTTGGAGAGTTTGGAGACTACAAGGATCGTTGGATATGATGGTGGATGCAGCACAAGACATCAAAAGAGCTAAGAAGAAGGTGCACCTTGTTGAAGCGCCAGAAACTTCACCTGAAACAACCGGCTCGGACAAAGCATCTCCAGCCCGATTCAGCTTCAACAGTATTCATAAATGTTGTAGTCCCGTGAGTTAGCTTGCATCTGGAGTTGGTTTCACGTCATTCCCGTTAGCGGTTATAAAGTTACAGAGGTTTTTGTGAAACCGCTCAACCCACATCGATACAGCAGAAGCCCATCGATCAAGGAGTGATCGTTGGAAACCCAGCGGATGCACCATTGATCACTCCCAGCGATCACTTTTGATCGATAGGAACCAGTCCGAACTTCCACTTATTTACAATTTTGCCATTTCCGCTTACACTCCTATAAATACTTAAAATCTATAATTTTTGGGAACATCTCTTTATCCAACCGTTCTTCTTTTCTTCTCTAGATTTTGAATAATTTGTATTTGGATATTGGTTTATTTCAATAATAGTTTGCATTTACCTTGATTTTTTGTCTCCCTAATCATGATTAACTATCTTTTCTTCGTAGATTTGATAGTTTTCACCATGATTAGTGAGTAGTTTGCTTTAGGTTTGAGATTATGGCAGATGGGGTGATTTTAGAATTTGTTTAGGGTGATTAGGGCTTTGATCTTCTCATTCCCTTTCTTATATGATTGTGCTTAATTCTTAGTACCTCTTTGTTGGAGAAGTTGATTTTAGGTTTTTACATGCACACTAGGTGTTTGATGAAATGTCTGAATGAAGTTCAATGCTTGAAAATGGTGTTTAGATAATCATGAGTATTTGCATCTATCATTTCTTGCTTGAATGTGCTTATTGCTTAGTACCAATTGGTGAAGAAGTTGCCATTAGACATTGATTATGCATGAGAATGTGAGTTGATGTTTGATATATTTTATAAGAGATTAGTAAACCTAGTCTAAAAGATTAGATAACCATGCTCATTAGAACGAGCTCCCTGATCGATCGCGAGGTCATTTTGGCGGAGATCGAGTGAGCTGATCGATCCTGTCATCGATCATAGTTTGAGGATCGAGTGCGACCAGTCGATCCACACCCCGTTCGAAATGCATGGGTGGGTCATCCTCTCGCAATCGACTGATTCACTCGATTGTCCACTCGATCTCTTCTAGATCGAGTGACTTCACTCGATTTACTAGCTCGGTCTAGTAAAGATTGAGCCAGGACAGGTCGATCTATCACTCGATCATTTGCATCTACTTCTCCTTTCCTCGCCTTGTTAAGTCCAAGATCGTGATCTCTGGTTCCCATTTCCTTGTACCTACACACTTAAACTAAAAAGCATAATATTGAAACAGAAATAAATCAAAAATATGTACAATGATAGTCATGGGATTGCCTCCCAAGTGTGCTTGTTTTACGTCTCTTAGCTTAACTTTACTTGGTTAGGCTAGAGGGGGATCTTGGAGAAGCAACATGGTGCTCTCCTTGCTGCAATCACTAGCCATTGACTCAATGCCCATTCACTGTGAAACTCTCTCCACCCTTGCCGATCAAAGTCACTGCCCCATATGGTAGCACTTCTTTTATCTTAAACGGACCGCTCCATCTAGACTTGAGCTTTCCAGGGAACAACTTCAAACGTGAGTTGTAGAGCAGAACCAGGCTCCCCTCTTTGAGCTCCTTAAGCACCAGCTTCTTGTCATGCATGGCTTTGGTCCTCTCTTTGTAGATCTTGGCGCTTTCATAAGCATTCAACCTCAATTCATCAAGCTCATGTAGTTGCACCAGTCTTCTCTCTTGTGCCGTCTCGAGAGTGTAATTCACTTGCTTCACAGCCCAAAGAGCTTTGTGCTCTAACTCCACAGGGAGGTGACAAGATTTACCATAGAGGAGGTTGAAAGGCGTGGTACCAATGGGAGTCTTGAAAGCCGTCCTATAAGTCTAAAGAGCGTCATCAAGCTTGCTTGCCCAATCTTTCCTAGTCACTCCCGCGGTTCTCTCTAGGATGGTCTTGATTTGCCTATTTGAAACCTTTACTTGGGCACTGGTTTGAGGGTGATAAGACGTGGCCATCTTGTGTTTAACTTCATGCTTTCTCAAAAGACCCTCAAAAATCTTGTTGATGATGAAGTGGCTGTCTCCATTATTAATCACCACCTTAGGAACTCCAAACCTTGGAAAAATTATTGTCTTGAAAAGCTTGACCACCACCCTTGAATCATTAGTTGGTGAGGTTATGGCTTCCACCCACTTAGACACATAATCTACTGCCACTAGGATGTACTTGTTGCCATATGATGATGGAAATGGACCCATAAAATCAATTCCCCAAGCGTCAAAGACTTCCACCTCAAAGATAGGTACTTGCGGCATCTCATTCCTCTTGGTTAATGTCCCGGCCCTTTGGAAAGATTCACATGATTTTACAAACTCATGTGCATCCTTGGAGAGTGTAGGCCACCAAAACCCAGCTTGGAGAATCTTTGTAGCTGTCTTGAATGATGCGAAGTAGCCAACATAAGTCATACCGTGGCAATGGAGAAGAATGTCTCTTGCTTCTTCTCTTGTAACACATCTTCGGTATAGGCTGTCCCACACACCTCTTGTATAGATAAGGATCATCCCAAAAGTAGTGAGAGATGCCCCTTATGAACTTCTTCCTATGGTAATGGTCCAAGTGAGTAGGCTCTTCTCCATAAGCCAAATAGTTGACAATATCCGCGTACCATGGTAGCTCTTCTTCCTTTAGGCTCAAGACTTCTTCAAGCTTCTCCTCTAGATTTGCACATACCACGGTGTTAACCATCATAAGCTGCACTTCAGGGAGTGAGTCATCCAAAGGCAAGACATCATCCACCCTTATCCTTGAAAGATGATCCGCTACACCGTTCTTTATACCCTTCTTGTCCTTGATCTCCATGTCAAACTCTTGCAAGAGAAGGATCCATCTTAAGAGTCTCGGTTTGGTGTCTTTCTTAGAATATATGTATCTCAAGGCAACATGGTCAGTATACACGATGACCTTAGAACCCACCAAGTAAGACCTAAACTTTTCAAAAGCAAATACCACGGCTAGAAGCTCTTTCTCGGTGGTTGCATACTTCACTTGCATGTCATCCAAGGTACGGCTTGCATAGTAAATCACATGCAGCTTCTTGTCCTTCCTCTGACCTAAGACAGCACCCACGGCGTAGTCGCTTGCATTGCACATAATCTCGAAAGGCAAATCCCAATCCGGAGCTTGAACTATAGGTGTGGTGACCAAGGCTTCTTTGATGGTCTTGAAGGCTCGCAGGCATTCTTCATCAAAGATGAACTCGGTTTCCTTGCACAGTAGCCTTGTAAGAGGACGTGCTATTTTGGAGAAATTCTTGATAAACCTCCTGTAGAAGCCGGCATGCCCCAAGAAACTCCTAATCCCTCTCACATTAACTGGAGGCTCTAAACTCGTCATAACCTCAATCTTGGCCTTGTCAACCTTAATCCCACGCTCAGAAATCTTGTGCCCAAGCACAATGCCTTCCCTCACCATAAAATGACACTTTTCGCAATTTAGCACCAAGTTTGTCTCCTCACATCTCTTGAGAACCCTGCAGAGATTTGACAAACAACCACCAAACGAAGCACCATACACAGAAATATCATCCATGAAAATCTCTACCATTTCCTCTATAAGGTCAGAGAAAATAGATATCATACACCTTTGGAAGATTGCTGGTGCATTACATAACCCAAATGGCATCCTTCGATAGGCAAAGGTACCATAAGGGCATGTGAATGTGGTTTTCTCTTGGTCATTTGGGTGAATATGGATTTCAAAAGAAACCACCATAGCCATCTAGAAAACAGTAGTATGGGTGATTGGCTAATCTCTCTAGCATTTGATCAATGAAGGGAAGAGGGAAATGATCTTTCCTAGTGGTTGAGTTGAGTTTCCTATAATCAATACACATTCTATGACCGGTTATTGTCCTAGTAGGAATTAACTCATCTTTTTCATTTCTTATAACCGTGATACCCCTTTTCTTTGGTACCACATGGACCGGAGAGACCCATGTGCTATCATTGATAGGGTATATCACGTCAGCTTCTAAGAGTTTTAAGATTTCCTTCTTAACCACTTCTTTCAAATTCGGGTTTAAGCATCTTTGATGCTCTAT